ATAGTTTTTAGAATTTTTTTCTGTCTGTCTGGCTGTCTATCTAACTATCTGTGGACTAGGGTTTCTGCTCGAAAGTTCGAGAATTCTAGAGAAATTTGTCTTCAGTCGAGATGGGAAAAAATAACTCAACGCCTCGAGAACTCGAGAAATCAATTCCGTGCTCTAGGTAACTAAAAAAAACACGCAAATAATAACAGTAAATTTAGTAAATTATTAAATGTACTAGCAGAACCCGTGACTACGTCCGCATTAAATCTACACAAAACACTCTATGGCTTTATGTTATACGACTCACCCTCACTCACTGCGACTCACCCTCGTTTCGCTCGGGTTCGCCTCTATAAAAACAAAAACAAATCTATCCCACGGGAACCTTACATTTTTCCGGGATAAAAAGTAGTCTATCTGTTATTTTGATGTATGAGCTATACTATTATATATAACTTTCATCAAAATTCATTCAGTACTTTTTGCGTGAAAGAGTAACAAGCATACATCCATACATCCATACTCACAAACTTTCACATTTATAATATCATATTATTATAGATTGTTCACAAAAAAAAAAGATAATTAAAATCGGTGAGTCGTTTCGGAAGAGTTCGACCGCAAACACCGTGACACGAGATACGAGTATTTATATATATCAGATAGAAGAAAAGAGTAAAACTTCAGGCGCTACAAGTATAAATAAAATCTTCAACAAATTATATAAGCCGTATTTTATTGAATAATAAAAAAATATATCACGAAAACATAACAAAAAGTAGTTTATAATATGTCCCACTTACATAAAATATCATGCAATGTTCTTTCTTTACAGATTTTTCGACGTAAAATGAACATTGAACGTAAATAAATACAGCTCATTTCAAATCTTTTGTGACATACTACAAATTTTTCCCACAGATTCATTTTTATCAACGAAAACCTTTGGTTGTCACGGCAACGTCTATTCTCTACTGCAAGAGTAGCAGATTCGATTATCGCATAAAGCATAGAGCTCCTTTATCTCATTCATCTTATGTATACCGTTCTATATTTTCTACATACATTTGTTTACGTTTGTTACTACTCTGACGCCTGCAACAGCTGAAAGGCAGGTCTGCCGAAGACCACACGACCAAGAGATTGCTTCCTCGATGAACTCTGCCGTCAGAGAAGTACCAGGAGCAATCCTCCCTCCTTGGGGACAAGAGAACAAACATCAGCAGGGAGGATAACGTGGAGTAAGCAGGGCCCGAGCAAACCAGAGTAAGCTGCTAGTTAAAGATAAAAATTTTATTTTGCTGCTTTAATATAAAATGCCTTATCCGGTATGTAAACAAAAAAGGCACAACCAACTGCATCTCTGCAAAACCGGAAAGGGCACTCACCGAACAACTATTGCAAGGACACAGGTTCATTGTCATTGAACTCGTTCCATCTGCAATGTTCTCATATAAAGCGAAACCATGACTGCGTCAATAAAAAAGATAAATGTAAACAAAATACGTGTCTACTCTAGGTCATCGCTCGAGTATTGCGATTATAAGAAAATATATATGTCACTGTGAGATAGACGTCTCTTATTAACAATATTATATATGTTATGTAGTTAGCCGTTATTACTGTCCCAATGCTGGGCATGGGCCTCTCTTTAATACGAGGGGCATCAGGACATAGTCCACCACGCTGGTCAAGTACGGTTTGGTGGACTTCACAAGCCTATCGAAAACTAGTTCTGTTATCTGCAGGTTGCGTCACGTGTTTTCTTTCTTCTCATCATCATGTCCTATGTTTCAAAAAAATATCTTGACTCACTTCGTTATTTTAATTTCTTCTTCAGATACTATAAAAAAAACAGTCTTTATTTACTATCAGGGTCCAATTAATAGAACATTAGAAAAAACGCATATGCCTCCATATTATATACTACATCGAAGTGCTGAGACGTATAGAGGTGAGCAAATTAACTTTTCATATGTGTAAGTGACTATCATTATTTTTTCTTTTCCATTGCTTTGGTGGTATATATTATGACTATATCTAATAATTATTGTAAAGCCAGTCTATGTACTTCAACTCTGGCCGAGGCCCAAAGTTAGGTTCCCGAACAGGTAAAATTTTAATTGACGACTCTTATAAAAACACACTTTATAAATAAAAAATATGGCAACTTCATAATTCAAATTAAATTCAATGATATAAAATTATTTTTTCTCGTACAAAGGATAAGCAGTTGATTATGTTACAATATATTATGTTGTATACTCTGTACCTTGTAATCGGGCTACTATTATAAAAAGAAAAGTTTGTATACGTGCGTGCGGGCGGGCGTATATATATATATATATATATATATATATATATATATATATATATATATATATATATAGACTAGCAGTACCCGCAGCTTAGATCACCACACAGGATCCCACTGGCCACCCACTGGGCTAATCTGAGCATTACCTGAAAATTTCATCAAAATCGCTCCAGCTGTTTTGGAGTCCATAGGAAACATACGAGTACATAAACACATCGATTTTTATTTTATTTAATGAAAAATTGTAATTTATATATTGCTCGGAAAATGGAGTCTTATGAAAATTTAGTGACACACAGACTTCAGCGCCACCTACCAGATCCATTTGTGAATTCAAACCTTGCAGGGACCCACTCGAACATACACAAAAAATATCATAAAATCAACCCTGCTGTTTAGGAGATGATCAGTGGCACACTGACTGCAGCGCCATCTATCGGGTTCAATTGTGTTTTCAAACCATCCCGGAGCCCATTGATATAGGTATACACGCAAAATTTCATCATTTCATTGTGTATGTTCGAATGGGTCCCTGCAAGGTTTCTAATCACGAATAGATCCGATAGGTGGCGCTGCAGTCGGTGTGTCACTAAATTTTCATAAAAGACTCCATTTTCTGAGCAATAAATAAATTTAAATTGTTGATTAAATAAAATAATAATGATGTGTATATGTATGCTTCCTGTAAACTCCAAAACAGCTGGAGCGATTTTGATGAATTTTTCAGTTAATCTTCAGATTAGCCCAGCGGGTGATCCTGTGGATTTTGTTAGCGATCGGAAGTTTGGGCGCGGGCGAACCCGCGGGTACTGCTAGTAATATATAAAATTGCACCAAGTCCATTTTATGAATGAGTTCTCTTTTCAGTATTTCAAAGTAATTTTTTAAGTAAATTATCGAGTACATATAGAGTAGTGTGTTAGGAAAATAAAAAAAATATAAGTAATAATTTTTAGATTTTTGTCTGTTTATTTATTCGTCAGTCACTAAAGAACGTACGTAATCAAAAGTACTTTTTAGGATAAATAAATTAATTAAAAATATATCATTTTTATTCGAATGCAATATCATTACAAGAACATACTCATACAAAGATACAGTTTGAACCGTCGCGCATCGCCCTACGCATCTCTATAAAATTTTCGTCAAAACTAAATAGGATAAACACGCAACCGCAACTGTACCATAAACAGTAGCTAGATATAATATAATGACAATATATTTTGATAAACAAAGTCAAATAGTGAGAGGATATAAACATGTACTATCCTCAATCGTCACTCAAAAATTACAATACCCAGATAAACAAATATAAGTTTATTGATTATAGAAATTATTACATTAAAACCTAAGCTCACATAATACTTCTTAGATTTACGTGAATATTTGACACTTTATTTACTTACTAGCGTAAGCTACTCGTACAATGTATGTATATAAAAAAATTCTCTTGCAAAATTATATTTTAAAACTTATGTATGTTTTTTTTTGTACTTTTAGTACGAGAGATCGAGCGACCTATAAAGCTTTATTGCTAACTAGCTACTCAACCTCGCTCCGCTCGGGTTCGACCCTAGTTACGTTTTAAACTTTAGTATAGATTTCTCAGAGATGAGATGATTGCTCGCAGTAAAAATTATCCTATATGTTTACCTGGATAACCAGCTATCATCATACCAAATTTCGTGATGCGGTCACAAACAGACAAACAAAAATTCTAAAAACTATAGATTCGGCCTCTGTATCTATAATAATGACTATTTCAATAAGATTTTCCAAAAAATATTTAATATACAGTTTCGAGTCAGTTACAATTTGATTATACTCGTATGTATAGATAAGTTATTTCTAATAAGGAAAATTAACTGTAAATCCATGGCTTATTAAAATAACTGTATCAAATATGGATGTTAGTATTGACGTCAGTGTAGAAACTATGAATATTGTAGACCTTACGTAATGATATTAATAATAAATGTGTAATAAATCTAAAACTTTTGATTTCTAACATCTGGTAATAATTCTAACATTTTTCTATATAATGCCAAGTAAAAGGAATGAATTTCTGACTGGTTATTTTATGAAGCTAAAATAAAAGTTGATATAGGTTCTGACTTAATAATTATGTTTTCTTTTCAGTCAGTACGTTATAGGTAATTTATGGAATAATTTTTGATCTATTTTGAGGTTCATTTGTACACCTTACAAGTTGCATTAAATTGCACAAAAATATAATAAAATATTAATACTTTAAGAATATAAACAAATATGTTACCTCGATTTAACACTTTGCAAGTCGTCTAATTACTGAATACAACTTAAAGTACTAATATAACTTATAATAATTTAAACTTCTTAACATTCATTTTTAATTCAAGCATTAGTAGGTACGTGGGCGACCGAGCTTCACTTGGAGTTTTTTTTTGACAAAGGTTTAAAAAAATGGGTTTTGTCTTAATTAAAATACAAACTTAAAAAGCAAAAACTTACCTAAATACAAAATTCGATTTAAATTGTTACAGATGATCGAGATACAGAAAATAAATTTATATACATACATACAAGAATAGCTCATTTAATCTTATAAGATAAAATCTTATTATTGTTATTATGTTAAAAACCGTATATATTTATAACATAAACATTATTATACGGTCTGTTAAGATTTTAGATCTCTTCTTAATTATTATTATTAATCAGAACTGAAATCACAGCCCCCACCGCCTCCTCCAGAAAAATCATGCCCACCACTATCTCCTCCAGAAAAATCATGCCCACCACGATCTCCTCCAGAGATATCATGTCCACCACTGCTGTTAACTAAACTGTTATTCCCGTGAGCTTCATGGTGAATGTTCACATGGCAAACAGCATTTGAAGCAGAATTCTCAAAATCGATGTCACTTCTATGATTTTCAATACAAGCTTCATTTTTGTCGATTGAATGACTTGTTTCAGTATCATCAACAATTTTTTTACTTATATTACAATGATCTTTAGGCGTCTGGCTGATTCCCTCGTCAAAAGCTTCATTTAAATGGAATATTGCCTTTCTTTCATTAGTATCATCATTATTTAGGTTATACGTGCAGTAATCACCTTCATTATCCATCACATTTCCGTCCCAACATTCGCCATCACCATCATCATTTATTTCACGCTTACTTAAATCTACCTTACGTGCACAATAACAACAACAATTTCGTCTGAAAAAAGAAGATATGGAATAGGCCATACTTCTTAAAGCCCAAATCGTACACTCAAAAACATCTAAAAAACATTGACACTTTCGTCTGTTTATATTTTGTCCATTTTCTATGCTAGCATTATTTTCTTCGGCTATATGTTGAGTACTGTTGACTGTATTTATTATATGGTCCTCCAATTCTGAGGAAGAGTGGTTCTCCTTTACCTTCTCGGTTGATAGTTGAACATCTTCGTCGTTATTTTTAAAGGAAGTTTCTTGAATCATGTTCACCTCCTCCACATCACATATTGTCACTTGCCGTTCCACTGTTTGTTTTAGGTTTTGGTCTGAAGATTGAAGAAGTGTTTTTATATTTTTACTATCTTCCTCCTTATGATTTTTAGGTGAGTCTAAAATAGCTCCTTCAGACATATTTTCAAGTCAAATTTTCAATAAACTTTCACTTGATTATTATTTATATCAATGTTTAAATCTACACAGACGTGCTTACTTTACTAAAACAGAAACCATTTTGTTTTATTAATACATTTTATCATTATAGGGAAATCCTAAGCCTCATAACAGGAATGTAATTATTATTTGTTAGTTTGAATCACGATGAGGATAGTGCTTCTTGTTTCCTGCAGAATGTCAGGTTTAATAGTTTTATTATTGATATACTTTATAGGTTATATTTCGGTTATGTTAAACATTTTGAAAGTAAAGAATATATTCTTGTATTTTTCTTTTTTTTTTGACTAGTTTTTTGGTTTGACTGATTTTGATGTTTTTTTCTGTGTCCTAGACCTAAGTAAGGTAGTTCTCTGTATAGTGGTTAGCTATAGTTAGCCACGATAAATGGCGCGTCAAAATCCAGAAAAAAATTTTTGAGGTCTGTGGTACGTCTGTCTCGATTAAATAAAGTAGAAACTCCGTGCGAGTTCTAAAGTAAAACCATAAATAATATTACAAAATATATTAATCTGTCTCAGATATATACAAAGTGTTAATAGGGATATATCTCCCAAAATAACATAATTCTATGAAAATTATATCCCTTATAAAATAAAAACGATGAACAGAAAGCGTATTCTTGAATTATTTACTAATTAGAGAAACCTATTAAACCTTCCTACATTTTCTTTAAAATTTCATACCAGTCCTCTGGTTAAGGTTAAACGTTAAATTACGAATCACTTCTTATACCTATACCTCCCATTTATATTTACAAAAACTGTATGGCATACCTACAGAATATGTACGTCTGTGAAACAATTAAGCAATTATAAAATTATAAGTCTCGTCTAATAAATTTAATGCATAATTTAAAATATATAAATCTCATGTGAATAGCAGCAAGACAATGAGAATCAAATTCAAAATTCTTTATTCAATATTTGTATGGAGTTTGTCAAAAATTCTAACACTTGAAAAAAATGCCATAGACCTGAAACCGAGCAGTAAATTATTTTTTCAAAAATATTTACTCAACATTTATTTTTTATTTTTTATAAGCTACAAATTCTACTCCCAAAGCTAAGAAAAAAAGCTTTTCTTTCGCTCCACCTCACATATTATATATCGGTTTATGATGTATTTATACGTCTCGAAATAGATTTGCTTTGCTTTATATCGGCATCGGCATCCAAGAAAAGTTTAATCAGAACGGGGAATAAAAACAAATTGCAACAAAAATAACAAAATGTAAATAAAACTTTACAAGTTATAGTTATAAAACTAGAGCAATTGTTTTGAAAATAGATTTCTATCTATTTCCTGTTTAGTTTAAATTGTGTATTTCTGTAGTTACCGTGAGATAGTATCTAATCTATGAAGAAATATCGAAAAAAATAGTGCATAATGTATGGCCTTCGTAATAGAATTTATATTGCACGTACATTCGACGATAACCAAATTGAAAATGGACGACATGTTGGGCTCAGTTTGTAATGTGACTACTTGGTGTGCCAGCAAGTCCAGTCACGGGTTCGAGTCTCGCTGGGGGCATTCATTTGTGTGGTGATCACGAATGTTTGTACTCCAGTCATGGATGTTTATAATTATAACTAGCGACTCACCCTGGCTTCGCGCGGGTTCGTCCCTAGGTTGATTCCCCATACAAACTTTCATCCCCATTTTCAATCCCTTAAGGGATGATTTCCGGGATAAAAAGTATCCTATGTTCTTCATAGGGTATCAAACTACATATCTTCTTACCAAATTTCATCTAAATCGGTTCAGTAGATCCAGAGAATACCCCCTACAACGCCACAAACTCACAAACTTACAATTCACAAACTTTACCTCTTTATATATTATTATTATAGTATAGATAGTATAGATATGCACCTATGTATTTAATGTTATATATGTGTAGTAATACAACAATCCGGTATCCATAACCCAAGCCTCGTAGCTTACCATAAAATTAAATGGTGCTGTATGTTAAAGTCCCAACAATATATTAAAATGTGGCGTTTAATCGGGTCCTCCACCCAAAGGAGCAAAATGGATCAAAATGGCTTCCGCCATCAAATCCGCCCGCCCATCATATGGTATCTATCAAAAGTTAATAAATTTTTGGCTACAGTTTAGTATACGGGACCCGGCCCCTGGAGGAGTGGGTGGTATTTTTGGATAAGGGAGGTGATAGAAAGTCCAAATATATAAAAATTATTTTGAGGTAACAAAAGAATCAAAAGTTATTGAGACTTAAAGTTACAACATATCTAATACATTTCCATACACTTCTTTACCTAAATAAGTGATTACAAAAAAGATTATATATATATATATATGAGTGTGTGTGTGTGTGTGTGTTAGTTTTTAAGGTATATATGTTATGGGCCTCTGTTTACATATTTAAGATCTTTTTGTAAATATTGCCTGAAATAAATGATTCAAATCAAAAGAAATCTATACTAGCCGTTAAAACGTACCTAGGGATGAATCCGACTGGAGTAAGAGTCGCTAATGTTTTATATGTGTTTAGTATTTCCAGGAGCGAATAAAACATACTTTTTAGGCTTACGAACAAACTTATTTATGGATTGAGTCGGTTTGAAGAAGAAATTAAATAATTTTGTTACATTTAAAGTTATATTATGTAAATTTATTTTTTACGTAACATGATTGCGTGTTAAGGAGATTCGGATTTTTTTCTTTAATTGTACTGGAAGACCTTGCTTGATTGTATGTAGGTGAACGGAAAGTACCATACCTACAGCTTCTGATGAGTGTATAGAGTGAGCTGACAGCTTGAACTTTTTACTTCTCGAAGGTAACGTAAAATAAAAATCGACCATAATTATTACCATCTATACATATAATAAAAGTGTAACTGATCGCTGTCTGGAAGGTATGTGAGAAAAATTATCATTGGGGTTCTTTATTTACGCAATAGAACCCAAAACAATGATTTTTAGAATTTTTGTCTGTTTGTCTGTTTGTCGGTGTATCTGTCTGTTTGTCGGTGTGTCTGTCTGTTTGTCTGTGCGTTTGTGTGCGCTAATCTCAGAAACAGCTTAACCGATTTGAATGCGGTTTTCACTAATATATTGTGGTAAGCTTCACTTAACATTTAGTTTTTTTTTATTTCAATCGGTTCATAAATAAAAAAGTTATTTAATTTATATTAATTTAATAAAAAACGTTATTTTAAAGAATCACCTAGGGACGAACCCAAGCGGAGCGAGGGTGAGTCACTAGTATCTATATAAAAATAAGTACCTGCTTCCTTAATTTTCTTATTGCTAACAAAAGTCTAAAAATCTTCAATAGCTACTAAACAAAAAAAATCGACAAGTGCTAATCCGACTCGCATACCGAGCGAGGGTTCCGCAGCATTCCGGGGCAGAGGCTGACTGCTACCGGACGCGTCCCCGGGTGGCGGATAGGGGAACACCACTCGCGCCTGTTTGGCCCCAACAGGAGCTTGTGGTACCGGAGCAATCCGGCGCGGACCAACAGCCAGGAGGGGAGGTTGAGGGAGCGGCGTTAGAGGGCGCCGTCTCCTTCTTGGAGGTAGCGCGGTGTCTCCGGCCGTTTTGCGGTAGGAGGTGCTGCGCGGGCCACACTGCCGGGGCTAGCCCGTCGGTGCGGCGGCTGGAGCGGGGCCATTTCGGTGGTCCTGCGTATGGCGAGGGATGTCGGCAGCCATTTTGGTCCGGAGGTGGGCCGACGGTAGGGGGGCCGCGGGGGAAGAGGAGTGTCGGTATGGCGATGCGCCGCTCGTCCCTATCTCCCGCGGCCTAACGGGGCCACCACCGTTGATGGTGGACGCGGTGGGGCTGCAGGGGAAGGGGAGTGTCGGCGTTGTCGCACCCTCTTCTCCTGCAGCCGTTTGTGTTTGGGCTCGTTCGCGGGCGTCTTTGGGGGGTTTGCCCAATTTGGGTGGGGTTTATTATTTTTGCAGGTTGCCCACTTCGGTGGGCGGTGTTTGTGTGGTGTGGGGCTGCTCCGGGTACTTCTCTGATCAGCAGAGTGGACTTAGGAGCGGCCTCACTTCTTCTTGGGTTGAGAGTCTTCCCATAATGGGGTTGTCCCGCTTGGGGCGGCCTCATGGTTGGTGGCTTCGGCCAACCGTCGGGGCGTCGCGGTTGTATGCGAGAGCGATCCCGTGGCGTCCCACATGCCGGTCTAATTAGCCGGAGAGTCTCCACATAACCACCCCGGGGGAAGTCGGGTGGTATCCGTAATAGGATTTCCCAACTATAAAAAAAAAAAAGGGTTCCGCAGCATGAAATATTAAAATAAGTTTATAATCACAAAAAAAATGTATCTACAAATTTACTGTTTTCGGTTTGTTCCCTTTACTTGTGATATAAGACATAGTTTCTTGCCAAATTTCATGATAAAGTACCCTATATCTTTTCATTTTCTTGCGAGTGCCAAAATATGCGGCGTAAACGGTCGTATCTTTTTTTCTTTTGAGGTAAAAAAATCGTTTGACAAACAGAGGAGAAAAAGGTACTGGACTATTTTGTCTTTGGCAATTTATATATAGGTAGGGGAAAGGGGGGTACACTGGATCACTTTTTTTCAAATGTAGTTTAACTATATAAATAAAGTATAAATTACCAATATTTATATGTAGAGCAATGAGGTGTTAAGTTGGCTATATAAATCTAGTTCAACTTTAGATATAATATTAATAGTTTTCTGAAAGCAAAGGTTTTTTTAAAAAGAGGGAAATTATTCATTGTACCCCATATATGGGGTACATTGGATCTCCGCATGGGGTACAGTGGATCTTATTGGGGCACAGTGAATCAACGCATGAAATCATCATACATTTTACTGTTGGGTTACAGCGAATCAATCAATATTGTAAAAAAGTTATATAAATAAAAATATTTATGAATTATGTGAACACTTTTAATCAACAATATTACAAAATTATCAATCTCTATTTATTTTCTATCAGTCGTAAG